CCCATGAACATATTTTTAATTTAAACAAGACGAGGCATTTTAAAATTGAGACCTGCTCAGAGAAACCCTGCCGAGTTTCACAAATACAGAAGTAACAGGAAAGAGTACCAACAGGTTACAAAACCAGGAAGAAAACGTTACACCAAGACAGACGACATTGTGGTTCCTGACCTCCCAATGCTACGGGCTACAGCTAAGAGGTCTGTAGAAGTGTCTGTTGTTTTTGCAAAGTTTGAGTCCCTTCAGGAGATTACTCTCACTATTTACTCTGCTGCTATCAGGCTGTGTATTTGCCCCACTGTTCCTAGTCCCGCCAGCTGGGCAAAGTGACCCCACCAGCTCAGTTTATGGATGTACTGATGGGTTTGAGGGGCTGGAATGTTTTAGGATGGCATCGGTCTGTTTGGGAGGGTCTCTCCTTGAGTCCGTGAGTTCATTCCTGAAGCAGGCCGAAAGGAGACTGTAGAGAAGGAACCAGAGAAAAGAAAAAGATGAATGTACAGGACCCTTCACCAGCCACCATGAGAGAAACAGTCACTTTCCACCTTCATGATCACAGTGTGGGCTTTGAAGGAGGGGAAAAGCAGATGTCTTAGCACCTACAGTGAGAGTATGCAACAGGGAGATTTAGAAAGCTGGAAAGCCCCAGGTACAAGTGAATGCTTGGCAAGGAAGAGAAAACTAGTTGATAGGGAAATCTGATTTCTGTGTCCCAGTCTCATGAGTGCAAATGGTGCTCCAATACTGTTCTCGGCAACAAATACAGGAGGAAAAAAGCACTCAGCCAAAGGGGAAAAGGAGAGAAGGTGCTTCCATTGAGCCCGCTTCAAACTTCAATTACTTAAAAGCCAGAAGCTTGTGTTAGGGAGAGAGGATGGTGCCTACTATGAAAGGGCCATAGATTACATCTCAACAAAGCCAGGGCACCCTCTGCACTGAAGTCAAGGGGTCCCCCTGGGGCTATCAGCTGATGTGGAAGGCATTGCACTCTTGGAGACAGCAAAGCAAACACAGCACATCATCATATACCTAATCTCACGCTTTTCTTGCTTACTTTCATCCTGGCAATTTTCTAGTGAGAACACTATCCAAGTGCCTGGAGTTCACAACACATGCAAGCACAGCACTACAAAACCAAACCATGCAAAAATCCACTATTAGCTTCCACACCAAAAATGAGAATAACTAGGTGGAGATATGAAGGATACCTTCCCCACCAGGCCCCTCCCTGTGACAGCAAGCGCCATGATCCTTGCAGCTCCTGTCTCAGCTGGAGCACTCCAGGCACTGGATAGCTCAGCTCTGTCATACCTCACTTTCAAGGTTAATTCCCTCTCCTCTGGATAACGAGCTGTGCTGCCCACTAGACTGAAAGGCAGCCAGTAGGCTGCAACCCTGATATGAGAGAAACATTTGCTGGGCTAATAAGAGCCTGCTGGGACATGACAGCCCTCCTCTTGGTAGGCACTGGAAGACTTTATGAAATCGCTTCAATCATGCTATGGCCAATTCAAATAGAGACTGTTCTGAAAACAGTGCTCAGCAGGGTGAAACTCACCACAGGAAATTTTGTTGAATAAGTAAAAGTGTTTTCTAGTGAAACCCTTAGAGACTGTGCAGATACTCCCTGGGAATATTGATGGTAAATGTATTTCACAGTAGAGTATTGAAGAAACTTTCCCTCCCCAACAAGGCACAGGCCACCTCTGGTATCTCTGGCAGCAGGGATCTTCCAGCAAATCCATGTTTTAAACAATGGTGGCAGACCATGAAAAAGAAGCCTTCTAAATAAATGTGTGTGCTGCTGTTCAACTATGGGCCCCAGGATTTGGCAGTGAAAAAGGAAGAACAGAAACTGCAGCTGAAAAAAAACTTCCCACCTATGATCATGAAGGTATTTGGCATAACAGTAAATAAGAGAAAACCATGCACAAAGGAGCAGAGAGGAGATGAGACAGAGAAAGATTGTGGTCTGGCACAAGGTGGAGCATTTACTATTTCTGGTCATCTTGTGGGACACAAAGCTTTCTGCTTGTCACCAGATTTATCCTTTTTATTGCAGAACAGTAAGACAGTTGCATCTACTGGCCTGCCAAAATGCAATGCTGGGCTGTATGTGCACAAGAGCAATTATAAAGTTGTTTTTCAAAATGACAGATTTATTTTTTTAAAGCTACCTTTCACCCTGATAATCTCTTTCTTGCTTTTCCTACTCTTCAAAAATGATGAAGCTTTCCATGTTGTAGGAATTAAAGGGAAACGTCTTCCCACACACCTAGACAGTTTTTCTGTGTTAACCATTGCTCAGAAAAGTAAACTGAAAAGTCAAGCAATTCCTCCATCAAGGCCTAACTGTGGAGCACATGTGGATGCAGCTCCATTTTGAGAATAAAGAGCCAAAGGTGACTCACAAACATCCTGGCCCCACGGGGCCCTGCTAGGACCTACAGCTTCCTACACCTTCAAACCCGGTCACTGCATATGCACTTTCCTAGCTCCCAGTTTTAACACACACTTTGAATGAAAGCAAGCTGAGACGGAGTTTTGAAAGTACGTCCTTACTTATAAAGTGAAAGGCATTTTCTTTTAAAGCCAGAACAGACCCAACAAAGGAGTCACCATGCTGCTGAGTTTGGCCAGCCTGTCAAGGAAGCAGCAGCAGGACATCTCCCAGCAGCGTGCTGTTCGCTGCACTTGCTTGCATGCAAGGGTGCTTTTACCCAAACCGGTTCCTACAAATTGTCTTCTCTCCCCATGCTCACATCGAGACCTGAAGCTCCTTTATGATTCTTTTTTGGGGTGCAGTTGCATCTACAAGTCTTTTCAGCCTAAATGCCCCTTAGCCCTGAACAGATTCCTTCAGAAATTAGGTCATACCCTGGATTATCAAGGAAAAAGCACCAGAACCCAACTGCACCTAAGAAACTATTGCTTGAACATGCATTTTAGCTCAGAGGACCCTGCTTGATGGCAGGCTGTCATCAGAGACAACTGCAGCAGCTCTGGACAAACATTGAAAGTTATTTTTCTCCCCTCCTGGCATCCTTAAAAGCTCTTAATCTTTCTCCCCAGTATCTGAGCACACTCAGCAGCTGAGAATAATGAGTATATAACTGGACAAGTGCCAGGAGACATGCCGAAAGAAGTTTTATTAAATTAAATGGCTGGACTCATACATGCTGGTCTTAAAGGTAACACAAATACCAACCTCAGTTGCCAGGAACCCATCCTATTGATAGAGGAAGAATGAAAACAGTAATTATGGCAAAGCAATTGTCAGCACCAAGTGAAAGCTGTCATCTGCTGCCGTCCATTTCTGCTTACAAAACTGTTTCTCAGCTGAAATGACTGTAGTTCAGGTGGAGCTTTGAAGACACACAGCTGAGCGCACAAAGGCCACAATGCCTAGCAGCTAATAAATACAAGCTATAGTACATAGAAACAGTGCAGATGACTGATAAAATTTTCATTTTTATTATTATGTGCCTCAAAAGAAAAAAAAAAAAGAGTCCAGAGCTCCTGGATGCTCCAGCCATTTTGGCACAAGGCTTTTTTCACACCTCCACAAGACTCCAGCTGACACTAAAAACACACAGGTCGAAATGTGAACACATGCAGAGATCTGGCAGAAAGCCGTGGTATTGCAGAAGTCCTGAGACAAGGCCAAGGCACCGAAATAAATCCCTACAGGCTCAAGTGGGACTTATGTGGTGCCTTGGCCTCATGCTAACCTCTGCAGAGGAATGAATTATACCCACAGCCTCTTGACGCGTGAGCTTACCAGCAGGAACGCGTGAGATCCTAAGCACTACCGCTGGTGGCTACCTACAGCCCGGGCGGCTATTTTCTGTCACCCGATACAGCAGGTGAAGCAATGCCCATGAATGACACCACTTACGGTCTGTCTGGGAAGTCATTCTCTGACCCAGTCTCTGCAACTGCAAAGCTTTCGGAACGGAGGGGAAAACGGAAACCAGACACTTATTTGGCCCTTCTTCTCCCCATCCTCCTGCCGCTTACACCACCCAAAGTAATCCTGGTACAGCCCTGCCAGCCAAGCTCAGATAGGGACTACATCTGCCCAGATGGAAAGTTTCTCATGCGCAATGCAGAGAGTCACTGACAAAGTACAGTTTTAAAAAACACTTTAAAAGTGCACACGTAGAGTCTTTCTTTAAAGTGCCCCCTAGTCACAAAGCAATTCTTACATGTTTCACCCTTGCTCCCAGACTTTCAGCTTCCCTTTTTATAGCTGAGGAACTTATAGTATTTATACCCCACTGAGACAGCAGCCCTCCAACAGCACCAGAGATGTGCAGCAGTGGGGTCCAAGTGCTTGGCCAAGACAGTGCTCACAGTCCTGGCTTCATGCACTCTTGGCAAGACGCTCAGGTGGACACCCTGGAGAAGGTGTGGAGATGGCTCCATGTTCACTGCTGTTCCCACAGAGCAGATAAGAGAAGAGCACACCGACCCTGCGCTCCCCAGCTTGGGCACGCATGTGCATTGGGTTTCTGTCTGCAGGCTGTTCAACAGCACTGCCTTGCTGTGCCTTGGGCTCTGGCTGGAAGTCAGAAAGGAGGCACTGAGCCTGTCCTCATTAACTCCCGAAGGCCAAAAGGTGAATTGTGTGGGATGAGAGACTAGAGAGGGACCCTGCAAGCAGTCAGGACATGCGCTTGGGGAAGGAGAACTGCTTTGTCCCATTGCGCAGGTCATGAAATCTGAATCTCAAACTCATAATCTCTCAAGTTCTCATCCAGAAACTTGGCTTTGGCCAAACTCCTGGCACCAATTTCTACCAGCTCAGACCAGGGGGTTAACAAACAGCTATGCTCTTGGAAAGGATTTTGCTAACACAGTACTCTACGAGTGCTTGGCCCTCAGTTGAACACCACATCCCTACGAACAACTGTGCAGAAGCCTTCTGTGTCTCTCTCCTCTCTCTCCCTTCACACTGTTCTCACTGAACAGATCACTACACGCACACTCATACTCACTGCTTCTGGAGCAAGTGCTGGTGCTGCTGCTGCTGCTGCTGCCGGTAGGTCTCAATCGTGTGCTGGGGAAGGTACTGCATTAGTTCCAGGGACTCTTTGATCTTTAGTAGCATTTCGTATGTCTCCCGTCCCCTCACCTGGATCATGGGGAAAAGAAAAAAGAGAAAAGAAAAGCTCTAAAGGACTGCATCTACAGTGACAGTCACCTTAGCAAGTTTTAGAATAAAGTCATATAAACAACCAGAGCAGGATGCAGATACTGTGTTTATACTCTATGCATACTCAATAAAACTGCTAAGCCTTGCACTAGAGGTACAGCAGATAATGTTGAAGAGCGATAATCTGACACTGCAGGCTAATGAACGTCCTGGGGTTGTCATCTGGCTCAATGTAAATCTATGCCACCCAAAAGCACTATTCTGATCCAATCTGTTAGACAGAAAGTGTCTTTACCTGCCTCAGATATAAGCAAATGTGGTGCTGAATCTTACATGCCTTGAAGGAAAAGAATACTTGAATTTGGGTATCGGGTTTGGATCTCCCTTATCCTCTAAGCACACCGTGGTTTGTGATTTATCCAACTAGATGTGGTTCATGGGGAAGCAGCTAAATGGCCAGTTACAGATACTTCTTGCTCTTTCTGATCCTACACTTAATACAGTGTATTTCACTTCTCTCACTCCACGATGATGGTAATACATATAAAAGCCACAGAAACATCCACCTTGTCAGCAAGACAACACCCATTAGCTCTAGAGAAAGCTCAAGTGCCACAGACCCAGAAATGAGAGAGGAGGAAACACAGTTAGGTCTCCAAAACAGTGTTTCCACCAGGACAGACAGATTCCTTGGGTTATTCTCATATGCCTTGCACAAGCTACTCTCAGTCAGCAGCTAATGGATCTTTTTCTTTTCCTTTAAATGTCTATTTAAAATAGATAGCTCTGAGGATTAAAAAAAAAAAACAACAATTCCACTTTGCATCCCCATCCTCAGTTCTCTCTGAGGTCTAGGTGAGCAGCTGACTTGCCTGAAGGCACTGAGGAAGATACTAAACACAGGATAAATGCAAAGATAGAGAGAACTCACCGGCAAGTATAAGAGCTCATCATCTGGGGAACGTCTTTTTTTGATAGATGTCATCTGTATGCCATGAGTTCCTTGTCGAAAAGCTGGAATAGAAACCCCAAAAGCATTCCGTTGGGGGGAGGAGGGGAGAAGAAAGAGAAGAAGAAAAAAAAGAAAAAGAAATAAAGAGAAATACAAAAGAGACACATGAAGTGCATGGCCAGCTCAAATCCACAGTGCTCAGAAAGAGTCTTTGCCTAAGCCACTCCAGAACTGCGCTTGCAGCTCCTGACTCCATAAGGCAGACATGACTTTGCAGATGTTGGGTGGCCATACCGATGGGGAAACACATCAGCCAAGGAGCACTGGCTGTATGGCAAAACCCCAGCAAGCCATACCTAGAAGCAGCACTGGCTTTTTGCAGGGAAGACTGTGAGCTTTGGTATTACAGTGCTCACAAGCTGTTGGTAGATCAGTGATCCACAAAGGCAAGGCAACAGGCAGAGAGCATGCAGAATTCACTGTGAAAAGGAAGCCACCCTCCAGTCAGCCTCCTGTTAAAACCTGCTGCCTTGCTGTTCAGCCTAGTGTCGCCACTGAGCATATGCAGAAAACCAAAGCTGGGTTTCCACATCGTGCATGTCTGATGAGTACGTTGCAATCCTTAGAGCACAGAGAGAGGCAACTTGCCAGAGCACCTCCGATGCACAGCAGGGGTTATGTGCAGTCTTAATCTAGATCCCTGTGGCTGGAAGACACATGCCACAGCATGAGACACTGCTAGAACAAGCAGGGAATGACAGCATAGTCCCAAACAAGCAGCAAAGGTTCAAAAAGTGGTTACAGAGTCCCAACCATATACCTTGAAGGTGGCAAATAAACACCCCCTTCAGCCACTGCTGGCAGGGCTAATCTAACACATGCAGCACTGCAAGGGAGCCCATAAACCCAGATTGTCAAATGCTGTTTTGTGAATGCCAGCTCATTTTTCAGTCTGATTCACCCTGGGAGAACAGATGTCTGATGCCCTCCTGCCTCCAAGCCCATGCATAGCACTGCTCCATCCCCATAGCACAAGCACTAGGGTGGCACCTGCACCCGGTGATAGCACAGTCTGCAATCTGCCCAGCTCTGCCAGCTACTTACGGCGCTTCGTACCATCACCATTCTTTGTGCTGTCAGAGACTTGCTGCTTGCGGATGCTGTCCTCATCTGCTTTGCGATCTCTGCCTGGGCAAGCGCAAATGCGGGCTTCGAAACATCGGCGGCCCAAGACTTGCCCACTGGGAAGAGAGATGAGAGGGAATGTCAGCTGTCGGCTGAGATGGGGGCCAGCAGCATCCCTCAACTTCACACCAGACTACGCACAGACAAACCCAAACCTCCCATTTCCCAGTCAGGATGTCCCAGGTGTTGGGCAACTCCCACCTGCAAAGATTTGAAAAATATCCTATGGCCACTTGCGTCAAACTGTCCCTAAGGATACGCAATGCTGCCCTGAGCAGAAAAGGAGCCAGGAGGCCACCTCTGAAGCAGAGGGCTACACTCATGATACACTACTTACTCTCTGGTTTCCAGTGTCACAATGATGAGGATCGGGCGACGGTTCATCCCTCCCACGCAGCTACTGTTACACATGAAGTTGTACAAGACTGTTGTGAACTCCGTACCGACCTGGTGAGACAAAGGGGATGAGCAGAAGAGATGTTGGATGGAAAGCTCTGCTTTTTCCAGGCTCTCCTCTTGTACTTCCACAGCTGTGCTAGAATCAGACTAGCAAAAAATAGGCCCCACCACAAGGCTTCCTTAAAAAAAAAAAAAAATGAGGAACTCCTGCTCTGAAGGGATAAAGAGGGTGTATAACAGCTCATTTCTGACAAAGAGGAAGAAGGATTCATTGTGATGAGGATGGGGAAGGCGCAAGATCCTGACTCCTTTGACTAAGGTTACAACCCCCACCACTTTGTGTTCTGGGTTGCCACCACCCTGAGCTCACAACATACCTGGGGCGGCTCATAGGGGACCAGTACACTCTGCCTCCCAGTAATGGGGTCTTCTACATACTGGGCATGGCTGGTCCCTTCCACCTTCCACCCGGATCAGGTGGCTGGGAGGTGCAATCTGCCCTGCAAGGACAAGGAGACAAAAAACAAGAGACACCATTCAGTGAAGCAAACTCATATGCAGGACACCAAGATCTTCCACTCCACACCTGGCCCCAGAGGTCTGCCAGAGCACACACATGCCTCCCAACCCTTAGAGCATCCCTTCTGCCCACTGCCAGACATGAAACGCAGTGCAATTTTTTCTCAAGCTCACACTGAACACTTGTGAGTAAACTTGAACATGGGCTTCCCAAGATCCCAGACATCAACTGAATGGCAGCTCACAGCAACTCTTTGAGCAGATAAGTCTATGTAGATTTTCACACCAGTTGAAAACCTTTCTTTTCCTCCCCTTAATGTGTACACAAAGCAAATTCCTTCATGTCTCAATCTCTACTCTTCTTCCCATCAACTGCTAGCCCTCTTCTGTTCCCTCCCATCAGTCTTAATACTAAGGAGCTAAAAAAGATTCAAGTAGCAGGAGAAATATGCATTTAATTATCAGTCATCTTGAAAAATCATGCTTGCTTACAGCAGTGGCTCAAGGGAACATGATCTTCTTTAGGCCCTTTTCCAATAATTTAGAAAAATAGTTTCCTTCCTGCAAATTTTCTTCAGTGTTTCTGCAACATACAACTAAATTCTGAGGAGAGAAGTCTGTTATAGGTTCATCCGGAGAATTTGTTTTGTGTTTATCTGTTCATTTCTTACTCAAAATACAACGTATTTCTAGAGAAATAATTATTTCAGAATAAGAACTTACAGTTTTAGTTTTTTTCTTTCTTAAAACTCCATCACCAAAACAGGTATCAACCCTCAAAAAATCCAGTTCTGTCAGAAAAGCACTTTCTGATATTAAAAACTATTTCAAAGTACTACCTCACTCCACTCTGATTTTATACTCCAAAGTCCTTGCTTATTTTTGGGCTTGTCTAGCTGGCTGCATTGTAACCAGCAAAGGGATCCAGGCTCCTGAGACGTCCTGCTAACTGACACCAAGAGGGTTTTTTTACAGTAGGAGATAAATAATGCACGTAGAATAAAACAGATGCTCATCTGAACTTATGTGAACTTAAGTGGCCAAAGCAAAACGGAGCCCAGCCCGTTTGCAGAAAACCCCAGGACATTTTTAAAACAGCTGCTACTTCACTAACATGAGGAGAAGCAAGTAAAAGATTAAAACATTAATACTGAACCAATAGCGTTAAATGTATAGGAAGGTTGCCTACAGTTGAGTCTGGCACTTAGTGTTATCCTGCTAGAGATAAACAGCCCCTCCGTCTTTGAGGCGTGGATTAAGGACTGGAGATGATATTGCATCCTGTTACTAGATCCCTGTCCCAGCGACGTGGAAGCTCATTCCTGGGCACAAGAACAGCTGCTTCTCATTGCGGGAGCAAAAGCAGAGCAGGGAAAGGCTGCCAGAAGGACACTGCCTGCCATGGGGACAAACATCCATCCAACCTGAGCAGGCGTGAGGTTTATTTCAGTACTTTCTTCCCAAGGACGTGCTTGCACAGGGACAGCTAGAGTATAGTGTGAAGCTTCCTGCTAAGCACGGGAAATGAAAAGCTGCACAAGACATTGCAGGGAGGCCTGCTTCCAGTGGGTTTGCTGTGAAGCTGCCGCCAAATCCCCGCAGCGGCCGCTCATCAGCCAAGCAGCTTTGGACAGGGACTGCCAGCAAAGCACTGCCCTCCTTACCCTCGTTGAACTCCCGGCTCAGCTCATGGTTTGGGCAGCGTTTGACCACTTCAGTGACATGTTCAGCTTTCTTGTAGACTGGCATAGCCCTGATGACAGCTCCCTGAGGCGGCGGGGTCATCACTTTGATCTGGATGGGACATGTCTTGGCGATCTGGCAGTACAGCTTTTTCAGTTCGGTGGAATACTGGACAAGGGGAAAAGAGCAAGAGAGAGTCAGGATGTTCAGCTAGAGGTGGAGGCATGCCAGAAGGATGGAAATGGGTTTGCACATGTAGCTGAATGCACCGGCTACTGTATGTGCATTGCATTTGTTCACACATGTCGCGGTTTAGCCCCAGCCAGCAACTAAGCACCATGCAGCCGCTCGCTCCCTCCCC